TTTCTTTACTTCTTAAATTATACCTTGTATTGTAATTATTAACACATATTAATTGATACACTGTGGAATTTCTATACATATATACATTGTGCATTAGAAAAAGATATGTGTGTGTATAAATCTTCAAGTATAGCAAGAAATAATTTACTTATGTGTCCCTAGTACAGAGGTAGCCCTAGGAAACTGCAGGCTGGTGTTCAGAATTGCTTTCTGTATAAATAACATAATTTTTCTAAATTTGTTTCTCTGTCTAATTATCTTAAAAATCATAAAATTCAAGCCAGAATACTCAATACTTAGCTGGCTAAATGGGGAGGATTCCTGGAAGTCTTCATTTGGAGAATGGGGGTTTTAAGACGTGAAGATAGACCTACTACCTCTGTCTCCCAATCTGTGAACCAGCACAGTTGTAAGAAGTGCCAGGATCTTATGTATCACTGGAGCAGCAAGCACAGCCTTTTAAGCAGTGATGTGCAATCATTTGTAAGAAGGTGGAAAATATGTTAGAATTGACCAAATAAGCGGCACTACAAGCTGAAATCCCAAATGTTAGTAAGAACAAGAAGACTGAACTGAACTATGTGATCTTTCTCCATTCATGGAGCTGGTGTGGGGACTCCTTAGCTGGCTGTAGCCTCTTTATTGCTAATCTCTTTCACAGGTGTTGGGAGGAGCTCAAGCAGGACCAGCAGCAGCTCCTGGAAGGGATCTCTGAGCTGGACATCAAGACAGGAGGAGTCCCCTCACAGCTGTTGGTGCATGGGGCTCTGGCCTTTCCCGTGGGACTTGATGCCTCCCTTGCCTGCTTCTTGGCAGCCGCCCGCTATGGCCAGGGCCGGGTGGTCCTGGCTGCCCATGAGGGAATGCTTTGTGCTCCTAAGTTGGGACATTTTTTGTTCAATGCTATGCGCTGGCTAGTCAGAGGTCAGACAGGCAAAGTTGGGGTGAACACAAGTCTGAAAAATCTGCATCCCCTACTGTTGGAGCACGGCCTGGAATGCAGCCTGGTGTCTCATCTGACCGGGGACTTGAGTGTGTACTGCTGCTCTGCGTACAGTGCCAAGGAAGCCAAAGAGCTACACGAGTTTGTGGCCGAGGGTGGGGGCTTGCTGGTTGGTGGTCAGGCCTGGTGGTGGGCCTCCCAGAACCCAGGTCTCTCAGCTTTGGCTGGTTTTCCTGGCAATGTCATCCTCAACTGCTTTGGCCTCAGCATCCTGCCTCGGACCCTCAGCCCAGGCTGTTTTCCTGTTCCCACTCCTGAGATGAGGAGCTACCACTTCCGCAAGGCACTGTCTGAATTTCAGGCTATGTTGAACCATGGAGATGGAAACTTAGAAAAGAACTGCTTGGCAAAGCTTAGAGTAGATGGTGCAGGCTTCCTACAGATCCATGCAGAGGGAGTCCCTGCTTATATATCCTTGCACCGGTTCCTCAGGAAGATGCTGAGACAGTCAGGTCTCCCAGCTGTGAGCCACAAAAGCCCAGTGGCCAGTGATTCCTGTGAGGCCACGATGCTCTGCCTGGCCACAGAGCTGGTACATTCTGGAACTGAATGCTCCCAGCTGTGCCAGGGGCTTGGCACTTGGACCTGTTCCTCTGACCTATATCCTTCTGAAGATCCTATCACTGTGGAGATCAATGGGACCAACCCAGGTATGGAAGGAGCAGAAAGAACGCTGAGTATCATTGAGTATAGGAAAGGTGGGATTGGCCCATTTTGCAGGACCTTGTGGGTACTGACCCTCAGGAAGTCTGGCTTTATGCTTTATCAGGTACTTTCAAGAAGATAGGGTTTGGGGTTCTGCTTACGGTTTAGGAGGGATGAGTCCAGGAAGCATAGATGAATGGAGTGAAACATAGAAAAGCTGTTCCTGAGGAAGGGCCTGGGAGGCTCCATGGGCTTGAGTCAATCGGGGGGAAAGAACTCAGCTTTCTCTTTGACTTGTCAGGTGACAGTGATTCCTGGGTAAGCACTGGGCTCTACCTCCTAGAAGGACAAAATGTTGAAGTCTGCCTGTCAGAAACTGCCGCCTCTGCTGGCTTAAAGGTACGGCCAAACCCAGCCAGTGTCTTCCCCAAACACAGAGCTACATCCTTCTCATGCACTGTGTCAGTCCAGCTCCCAGCAGTGCTACCAGGAGCACAAGGAGGGATTATGCCGCCCAACTGAGATTCTACCGTAGAAGCAACTAAACTTCATAGGACCTGAGTGACTGAAAGTCCCAGGTACAATGCCAGCCCCAGAGCACATGATCCTGAGCTTCCCAATTCCCATTTGTGGTGATTATATCTACTGTCAGAAATGAGGACGAGCCGCACCTGTTAAATGCCAGTTCTCCCCCATTTTACTGATAGCACGCAGGCTTCTGGGTTCTAGTACTTTGCCCTGACACGAAAGGGTCTTTTAATCCCATCACCCACAAAAAATATGCCCTACATATAGAATTTAAATGCCTCTGCCTCCTTAACCCTGATAGCAGCTTCCACCGTACTTAGGGCCCCTCTGTGTCAGCATTCTCTCTAGAGCTCACTTACATCAAACCTAGGAAAGGCAACCCTGATTCCAGGCAAAACAGGAGGGGAGAGAGCCTGTCCTCTGCCTCTCAGGCCAGATTTTGCTGCCCCAAGACAGGTCCCCTTGTGTCCTGCTGAGGCAGTCTAGGATTCACTGGGTCATTCCCAACACTGGGATTACCACACTTTCCCCAAGATTCCACATGGGAAAAAGCCACCATAAGCCCCTACTCAGTATGAGCCTTGAGTTATGCCTGGGATCTCATCAATTCATGTCTGATGGAGACCCACTTGTAGTTGCTTAAATCCCTGACAAAAAAAAAATGTCATGGACTTCATGTATTTTTAGTCCATATGACTTTGGAGTGCTACGCTTTCATAGTTTGCCATGTGTTGCTCATGGGAAAGGGAAGTTGGGTTTCACATTTAGTTCCTTCCACACATACAAGCCCATACAAAACCCCATCTCCACATCATAGGAACTCTTGATCCCTGACACATGGTGGAATCCCCCATCCAGATACAGATTGGCTGCCATACTGATGACCTGACCACAGCCAGCAAGCTGTCCCGAGCCCCTGTGGTGACTCACCGGTGCTGTATGGACAAGACTGAACGGTTGGTCTCCTGCCTATGGGGTGGCCTGATCTACATCATCGTGCCTAAAGGCAGTCAACTGGGTCCTGTGCCTGTCACCCTCCAGAGGGCTGTGCCTGCCCCGTACTACAAGCTGGGTGAGTGAACTGGAATCTGGAAGAAGAAGGAGTTGCAGTTGTGTGTCTAATTGGAGTTTCGTGTCTAGCACCCCCGACCCATAGGCAGTCTCACCCCCACATCACAGAGACCCTTGTCTCTGTGGGAGAGAAGGATAGAGAAAAGGGTCCTCATATGAAAAAGAAAGAACTATTCGAAGTGGACGTGCAGACAGGAGGTGTGAAGCACTCTGTGTGTAAGGAGACCTCAGGGCAGATCAGAGAGAGAGGTCTGGAAGCTTATCCTTCCTCTCCCAACCTATAGACCCGTGAGGAGGTAGTTCATTATTTCGCTGTTCTCCTAGAGTTCAAAATGTGTTTATCAAGTGCGTGAAAATTGGGGAAGTGGGTGAAAGTTTTCATGGTGTTTATTTCCAGGGAAGACGTCGCAGGAGGAGTGGAGAAGCTGTATTGAGGGGAACCCAGCCCCTTGGGGAGAGCTGGCCACAGACAACATCATCCTGACCGTGCCGACTACAAACCTCAAATCCCTCTCAGATCCAGCACCTCTGCTCCACCTTTGGGATGAGATGATGCAGGCGATAGCCAGCCTGGCAGCCCAGCCTTTTCCTTTCCACAGACCTGAGAGGATTGTTGCGGATGTGCAGATCTCAGCTGGTAGGTTTCCCCAGGAATGCTCCTAATTAGGAGATACCACGTATTTATTATATTGCCTTTCTTTTAATGTCCAAGATATTTGAAGCATAATTTTATAAGTGAGGGAAGAAGGACGTGAAAGATAGTGACTATGATAGGGATGAAATGTTTACAGGTGAAAGGAAAATCATTGATGCCTACAAGGCGAGATTTCACAAGATGTTAGAACAATCTCAGAAAATTAGTTCTGAGAGTTCACAGTTATCAGTAAGGGTCATTTCAAGGAGACTGTACAAAAGGAGCCATCCCCCTGAAACATAAATCAGAGTTGAAAGCGAGGAGGGCAAATAAGTAAAGAGGTTTGTGTTAAGTACCGAGTGCTTTAGTGAAAAGATGGACATGGAGAAATCAGAAATGATGGTTCCCACTCAGGGACCCTACTATTCTTCTATTTCATAGATTGTAAATCTGGAGAACATGGGTTTCATGGGAGAAGAAAATCTGATGTTATCTAAGCTTCCCAGATTGCGGATCCAGGTACAGGGCATCGTGTCAAACTCACACACAAGGAAACTCACAAGCATTGGATTCCAACAGGGATGACTGTGTAAAGCGTGTCTGCATTCTTCAAGGCCAGAATGAGAAGTGTACAGCTCAGATGGCAGAGACTGGAAGGGGAGCAAGTATTGCAGGAAAGCCATTGACTTTTCAGCCAGCACAGAGATCCTGGAATTAGGGGGCCAACTAGAATGATGAGGAAAAGTTCCACAGTGGAGAACAGGAAAGAGAGGAGGTTGAGGTGGCTCCAAGCTTTGTGCTCCATCTCTCCCTCTGTGTTTCTAGGCTGGATGCACTCGGGGTACCCCATCATGTGCCACCTGCAGTCTGCACAGGAGCTCATTAATGAGACGGGCATGAGAAGCAGAGGGCTGTGGGGAGCCATCCACGAGCTGGGCCACAACCAGCAGCGGCCCGGGTGGGAGTTCCCGCCACACACCACAGAGGCCACCTGCAACCTCTGGTCAGTCTACGTGCATGAGACAGTCCTGGGTATTCCCAGGGCGCGGGCCCATCCCGCCCTGAGCCCTCCAGAACGAAAGAAGAGGATCAAAGCGCATGTGCAAAAGGGAGCGCCTTTGTGTGACTGGAACGTGTGGACAGCTCTGGAAACATATCTACAGGTACAGAGCAGAAATTCAGGAGGGACAGCCTCCCAGACCTTGCGGTCAGGAGCACCCATATTCATAGGCACTCTCCAATTACTTTGTAACCTCTCCAGCCTGGGATTACCACCTCCCTGGGCATGGGATTTTGCATTGTAAGAACAAATGAAATCTATACTATATAGCCTATTGGTTAAAAGCAGAAGCTCTGAGATTGAATCACAACTGTTCCATTCACTGGTTTTGTCTTTGGTCCCCTAATAAGTGTTCCATCGTCTTTGCTTTGTTTTTATTCACCTTAGTTTTTTGGGTCAAATGAGTGTTACTTCCCTTTATAATGCAGGGACATGTCTGCAGGACAATTGCATTATAAAAAGACATTGTGGGAGATAAGCCTGCTCACAGGGTTCTCAGGCTTCCGTCACTCCACTTGAACCAAAAATATTTTTAAAATAAATAACCAATGAAAGGGATAAGGAGAACACCAAAGTTACTAAGCACGTCTACTTCCTGTGACAGCTAAACTAAATCCCGGTCTCCCTCCCCAGATCTTGCTTTCACTTTGAATGTGTTTGAGCTGTCAAAGCTATTCGCTCTGTCACATTTCCTGTGGTGTCTACTACAACCCCATCGATAGGTGTCGTATGGCCTCTTTACACGGAGGCTCCTGCTAATTAAAGAACTTAAGCAGCCTGTCCAATATCACCTATTGAAGCGACGGACCTAGAACTTGAAATCTGGAGGGAATAGCAAGTCCCAGGCTTTTGTGCTTCCATGCCCCTTTTTGATGCTTTCCCTGTCACTAGTTTCTGAAGAGCAAATGTGAGATGGTCCCAGTCAGTGAGTAACTGGACTACACCAGTCCTCACCTTTGCACATAACCGGCCTGATGGTCCTCAGGGCAGCAGAACCGGAGGGTAGATTTGCACTGAGGTGTAGGTCAAAGCCCTAACTCTGCCCTGTCGGCTTTCCCTCTTGCTATAAAGCCCTGCGCCTCAGTTCACAAGGGCTATGGAGAGACTCACTAACATCTTGGAGACCCAGTTTTAAGACATAAGCACCTTCCTGCACCCACGCTCCTGGTGCTGTTGCCTTAGCTCAGGCTCTACTTACTCCCCTCTTGGTCTCATCCACCTGCTTCCTCCTAAGTTGTCCCAGTATTTTGCCTTGATCCTCCAAATCCTTCTTCCACACCACTCCCCAAAGAAAGTTAAGTTTCCATCTTTAAAAGTCTTACATTATTCTTTTTCACGTACAGGATAAGTTAGAAGCTGCTTGACAAGGTATAGAAGGACTTTTTGCCAACATGCCATCTTTATATTTTCTGATTTCCTCTGCCCGTATTTCCCTCCAGTGCACTGAACTGCTTACAGTTATGAGTGCATCTGACTGTTTGAGCTTCTGAGCTTTCCACGCGTCCCTCCTACTGCTGAAACATGCTTGAACACCTTGTCGCCTACCTACCAAGTCACCTGTCAAAGTTCAGCTCTGTTGTCCATTTCCTGGACATCATCTCCTTGGCAAACCCACCGTTTTAGCCATTTATCTGTTTACAACTCTGTCCCTCCCGCTGACCTGTATCCCCTAGAGGGACAAGGCCACTGCATCATTTCTTGCCTGACACAGCATTTGGCACGTGGCAGACGACTCATGAATGTGATATATTTAATAAATGTTTAATTTGTTGCATTGATTAATAAACTGCCAGAAACCAGTGCAGCAATAGCAAGTGAGCAGGGTCATGAGCCCCTGAGATTCTGAGGGATGCTTGCTATCACATTTGATCTGTCTTTGGGCCTTCGTATCCCAGATTTAGATATATTACTTTCTCATCTTCAAAAGAATGGGTGGGGTCTGGAAACTCAGATTTCTGCTAGTTCAAAAGTTCTGTAATGTTCCTCTCTGAAGTAGGGTCACACCATTTGAGATCCTCAAGACATTTCTGATTCTCTCCTTTTCCCCCAAAGCAGTGTTCCACACAATAATATAGTACCTTGCAGATACCGGGAGGCCTGAGACCGATATTTTTAAAAAGACTATTGGTCTGCCTGGAAAATGTGAACGTTCACTAGCTTTTGGGATCTCAATAGGCTGCCTATGGAGGATGTGAGGGATTCTCATCTCATTCAGTCTTAAGTCTGTCCTGATGCTGAGATAAATACTTAACAGCTGGGGATTCTCTCAAAAATTAAAGACAATGGTAATTGTTCTGTATCAAATTCTGACCTCTTTCAGACATTAGGTTTTCATGAGCCTCACCACTAGATTCAGAGTATATGGATTGATGGGGAAAAGATGAAGTGAACCAGTAAGGGTGAATGTATATGTAGTTGTAGGGTAGAGAGACAGAGGCAAATAATAGGAGTGAAGTTAATCAGGAAGGGAAAGAAATTACTCACTAAAATACATATACTTACCAGTATGCATATTGCAAGTACATTAGCAAATTTGAAAGCTCGTTCTTCCCTTCTGCTTTCAGCTCCAGGAGGCTTTTGGGTGGGAGCCGTTCACCCAGCTCTTCGCTGACTACCAGACCCTCCCTGGCCTCCCCAAAGACAAAGATGGCAAGATGAATCTATGGGTGAAAAAGTTCTCGGAAGCAGTGCAGAAGAATCTGGTGCCTTTCTTTCAGTCCTGGGGCTGGCCTGTCCAGAAGAAAGTGGCTGAGAGCCTGTCCTGCCTTCCCTCTTGGGAGGAACACCCCATGAGAGCCTACATGGATTCCAAGGAATAAAGGGCGGGTATGAAGGGAGAAGAGAAAAGATCCCACAGCTAGTCCGCCACTGTGACCTGGCTTGAGATAATCCGAGGCTTGAGCTGACATCTCACTGTTGTCAGATTCTGGGGTTCCTCAGGTTTTGTTCTAGGTTCTTCTTGCCTTGAACAAAGAATTGGACAACGTAAGCATGAAATGTAGTGAAATTTTACATTTATCAAAGATAGGAAAACAAACACAGTCTGCAGAGCAAGAACGGGCCAGTTAAAATTAGGGAAAAAAGGCCACCCTACAGGTGAGTGCAGACCATTATGCAAGAGAGAGCCCAGTGGACTCAAAGTTAATAGTAGCCATCTTTCGCATCTCCCACTCTTCAGGCTGATCTCACCAGTGGAGATGAAGCTATGACACACATGCAGCAGTGGGCTGTTTGTGTCACTGAAAGCTCTAAAAGATTTGCCATCACTGATTCTAGGCCATCCTGTCAAAAACCTGCTTGAGTTCTCATGAGAAGAACTGGAGATAGCGTTCTCTGATTGGTCCCAGGAGTGGAGCTTTGGGAATTATTTTTCTACACATTTCCCAGATCTCCATCACTGTCAGGTCATGCCCACAGCCAATTTGCCAAGCCCTAATCTGCCTCTCTTCTTTGCAACCTGCCTTTGGGATGATGGTCAAGGTCATAAAGACAAAAATGGAACCAAGGTTCTCAGGAATGTGCCTTTGTGCTTTCTTTTCTAATACTATTATACCTAACTAGAAACTGGCTTTGCTGTCATATTCATCCAGTAAAGTGCTGGGCTTTATACTGCCCTCCTGAGGTTTCTATTTTTCATCAGTAGTTCGTCAGTAAAGGCCTTGGGTAGTCATACATTTTCACTCGCTCTCTGCTCCTATCCCTGATCAAGTCATCCAATTCTTATGTTTTGATAAATTTTTAATAGCAAAAGAGACAGGCTGATGTAACCAACAGAGCCCTGGGCAAAATTTTGCTTCTGTCTGTGACCTCAGCATCAAGTGACAAAAATGACCAAGGCTATCTTTCCCACACAAACATGAATGTGGCCATCTTCACCAGAATCATGGAGCAAATTAAGTTCATGAACCAAGCTACCACCGTACTTGCTGGTGTCCTAGCCCAACTGACATTTTTTTTTCTCATCTCTGGAAGGATTCTCAGGTAAAACTAGAATGGTGTATACTCAAACTGAATGTTCTAAAGCTATTAGGCTTTGGTCTTTTGGGTTTATTTTGACAGAGACCACCATAAAAGGACAGAAAAACTTCTTGGCTCTTTACCTGTTGCTGATTAAAAATGATTTGCAGCTTGAATGACACATAGCTATAATCCCAGCATGTTGGAAGGCTGAATCAGGAGTATCACAAGTTTAGACAACTTAGTAACTTAGCAAAACCCTGTCTCAAAAGAAATTCACAATGTAAATGGGTTGGGGATGTAGCTCACTGTGAAGGCCCAGGGTTCAATCCTCAGTACTGAAAGCAAAAACAACAAAAAATCTTACATGATGTGTACTTCCTTTTGAGGCAGTCAAGGATTAAAAAGTTCTTTTTCCTAAAGCAAAAAATAATGACTCTGCATGTGGGCCTTGAAATACCAAAAGTAACTAAAAATAAGGTAGAGATGGATCTTTATTTTGTATGGGTCTCCTTTGTCATCCTATATCTTTAGGTCAGATCCCTTCTAAACTTTGCCTATAGGCAGATTAATTGTTTTTTTTTAATTTTTTTTTTATTTTAAAGATAAAAGGAGGGAAACATTAACAGACATACAACATTTTACAACATATCACAAGCACAATACAGACAATACAGAGTTACAAACAAAGTGGTAGGGAATTAACAATGGTGGTTGTATTACATATTGATACCTCCAAAGTGGCTTCTCATGAAAACAGATATAGACATGCA